CTAAGACGCTGAGCTTGTCGATCAGAAAAGTCGGCAGTTCGGCGGTTCGAATCCCTAGTGCCGTGTTAACGGAGTGAGCTCCCGTGACTTGTCCCAGCTTCTGCCAACCTAGCAGTTTAAAAGCACGTAGGAAAATAGGGACCACCTTTGGTGGGAAGGAAAGTGCTCCGTGCGCCTTCGGCATTGAATCATGCCGGCCACATGACCACAGAGACATCTTCAGAGAGCGCTGGCTCTTCGACTTTGAAACGGAGATGAGCACCGCCCCCTGGAGTCGGGAACAACTAGCACATATGTGCAAGGGGAACCTTTTTTTATGTGAGCAAGGTGACTTCAAGGCATCACAGCCAGCTGATCTGTGTGATGTAATAGATACTGCTGGTTTCCCCAGCTCCCTTCAGATACCGTATCGGAACGGGGGTCCCCTAACTTAGCGGCAATTAGAAGCATCTTGTATTTCTTTTTCATGTGGACTAGAAGCATCTTCTGATGTTTCATGCAGACTTATTCTATATTAACCAGTTGACTTGGCCAGCAAAATGTCAGCCAGACAACTCATTCTCCTTTGGGTGTAAATTGGTGGTTAGGGCCAAAGCGAGAAATTATTTTGCTGCAGCAGGTCAAGTTTTTACTTGGCTCCGTTCCCAACAGCTGATGGCCAGATGTTATACAGAAATGTCTGGGCAAAATAGGATGATGATTCATCTATTGTTTGTATCCAGACAAAATATATNCTGTGGTCATGTGGCCGGCATGACTAAACACCGAAGGAGCACGGAACACTGTTCCCTTCCCACCAAAGGGGGTTCCTCTTTTTCTACTTGCATTTTTACACGCTTTTGGACTGCTAGGTTGGCAGAAGTTGGGATAAGTAACGGGGAGCTCGCTCCATTACGCGGCGCTAAGGATTCGAACTGCCAACCTTCTGATCAACAAGCTCAGCGTCTTAGCCACTGAGTCACCAGGTCCTTTCCCCACCCCCGACTTCTCAACAGTTCCGTCTGGATAAAAACTGCTCTTCCCAAGCACTGTTTGGTTGGAGGAAGAGGTTGGTGGGGGAAGGATAGGTTTCTGCAATTTTACTGATTTGGGCCCGTGGATATTTGGTGGGCAAGAACCCAGAATAAATCAATGCCCTAGCAAAACAGGGGATTCAATGCACTGCTGGTGCATGCTTCATTCTGCAACCGTCTGCAGCACATTAAAAAAAAAAAACACTCTTTAATGTTTAGCAATTTTCACATGCATGTATGTCTTCGGGCATACTGCCCCCTGGTGGCATTACACAACGTGGCTTCCCTTGACAAATGCAATGTTGTTTATTTTCATGAAGGATTTTCAATGCAGTAAACATCCAATCTGTAGGAGATGACTAGGCTGAGCCTGAAAGAGGGGTCAAATGCATCCTAAGTCAAGAGTCCCGGTGTACCCACAAGAGAGCAAAGTCCAGCCAACCTGGAATGCCCTTCTTATCCGCTCATCCCCTTTGACCGTTAGTTGGTCAGATTCTTGTAGAGCTTAAGCTTGCAATAAAGCTTGCAATATACTCAGATCAACAATCAAGTAAATGAGACTCCAATCTGCCAAAGCACCATCAGTAAACAGCCCAACCAAAGAATCACTTAAGACCGTCCCTACCCACACAGACAGCCAAGACACCAGAAAATATAATGAGAGCAAACAGCCCTCCTTACTAGCACTGATGATGTTAGCTAGTTAGGGTAATGAAGCATCTGCAAGAAAACAACCTTGGAGAGCATGCCGGACCCCACTTTATACTCATTTGAACTGCCTGGATTTCCTGGTTTCCCCTGTAATTGACAAAATATAAAGAAAAAGGATGGGTGAATGGAAGGAAGGAAGGAAAAGATGAGAGAAGTAAAATGAAAAAGGGAAGAAAAGAACGGCGGGAAGAAGGAAGGAAAGGAGGAGAGAGAGTGAGAGGAGGGAGGGAGGAAAGGAAGGGAGGAAAAATGAAAGAAGGATGTAAAATGAAAGAGAGAGAAGAAAAGAAGGGAAAGAAAGAGAAGAAAGGAGGAGGAAGGGTGGGAGGCGGGAGGGAAGGAAAATATGAAAGAGATTAAAATGAAAGAGGGAAAATGGAGGGAAGGAGGAAGGAAGGAAAGAAGGTGGAAGAGTGAGAATGAGAAAGAAGGAAGGAAAGGAAGGAAATGAAAGAGAAGTATGTAAAATGAAAGAGGGAAAATGGAGGGAAGGAGAAGGAAGGAAAGAAGGTGGAAGAGTGAGAGTGAGAAAGAGGGAAGGAAGAAGAAAATGAAAGAGAGGTATGTAAAATGAAAGAGGGAAAAATGGAGGGAAGGAGAAGGAAATAAAGAAGGTGGAAGAGTGAGAGTGAGAAAGAGGGAAGAAGAAAATGAAAGAGGAAAGGAGAAGGAAGGAAGGAAGGGGGGAGAATGAAAGGAGAGGGGAGGAAAGGAAGGAACCAAGGAAAAATGAAAGAGAAGAATGTAAAATAAAAGAGAAGGAATAAAATAATGGACGGAAGGAGAAAAAGGAAAGAAGGTGGGAGAGGGGAAAGAGGGAGGGAGGGAGGAAGGAATTCTGGACCAGCTATAACTTTTTTCATCCATGGAATAGCACCAGAGGTCAAAAGATGTCTTATGACCTTAACCACTGCAAGCCCTAGTTATGATTTCCTGTGATCCATGGGAAGCTTTGTCTCCCATGAATATCAGAACTGCCCCATTATCTGGAATCAAGAACCCAACGCTGTTGACTGGAACCAACCCCCTCCCACGGTAGGCCAAGGCTGGTCCTTCTGCTTCACCAGGGCAGAGTCCATAAGGAGTAGAAACACCCTCGATCCCCGGAGCAGAAGTTTCTCCAGGATCCTCTGCCACAGGAGGGGCAAGGCTGGCTCAGAGTCTCGGGCAGAGCGATGCAGCCGTTGCCGCCACCCCGCCTGGCCCTGATGGCACATAATGGAATTTCATTCATATTCATGGAGCTGTAATCTCCAGAGTCACTGAAGCAGGCCGAATGGAGTGGAAATTTACAGCCTCCCTTGCCGCCGCTGATGAAGCGCCTGGTTTACCCATCACCGACTCTAATTAAATGGGAAATTTAAAATGTTAACTTTGGCAGCCGCTCCTGGAGGATTTTCCCCAAGCGTAAATTGTGCTTCCCGTTAAGTTTACCAAAGCCAAGGAGGGACCGACCGGGAGTTACTACTCGTGGCCCAACAAACCTTCAGGGGTCTCCTCTGTTTCTGTCCACAGTGCGTGTGTGGGTTAGGGGTGCTAAAATAGGCTTCACACGATGTCTCACTGGTTTGGATTCGGTGGCTTGCTCAACAGAGCGTGGTTAAAAAAAAACCAGCCTTTTAGAAAATAGGAAGGTTTTCAAGGTGAAGAATGGATGTGTTATCTGTATACCCTTTCCTTTAAATATGGAATGGAATGGAATTAGGGGTAGAGTAGAGCAGAGTAGAAAAGGGAATACAGTTAGGACTAGACTAGACTATAAAGAATAGAATAGGAATAGGAAATAGAATAGAATAGAATAGGGAAAGTAGACTAGACTATAAAGAATAGAATAGGAGTAGAATGGGATGGATGGAATGGGATGGAATGGGATGGAATGGGATGGAATGGGATGGAATGGGATGGAATGGGATGGAATGGGATGG